GGCACAGAGACAGAAACAGGCCTTCCACTGGGTTTCTCACTTTCAACACCTAAATGGCCAGTTTAAAAATTGACAACCCAACGTTTAACTGTTGCATAGGAAGGGCCACTGTCACCCATAGTTTGTGACATTTCATCATGGATCTGCTTGCACCTTTCCCTTGGAGAAACAGGAACTTGATTCTGATCCTATGCTCTTCCACATTGAACTTTTCTGGAGGTGCTGCCATGTTCACTTTGGAGCTGAACATGAAAGATAAGTTAAACTCATAGGTAGTTGATTTTTGCACCATTAAATACAGACAAATTGGCCAATGCACCCTGCAATTTATAGCTTCCTACCTCATTTTTTCTGGGAAAGGCTCAATACTTGTTAGCACTCCCTCCCACAGGGCAAAGGTTTATACCTTTATACAGGGCCCCAAATCAAAGACTGTATTGGTGCAAAAGTTGTTGATCTAACAATGACCTTTAAAACCCCTGTTGATGTTTAATTCCCCTCCCAGGAAGCATTGTTCTGTAAACAATGGCAATGATTGGTGGCTAGATTAAGGAGCAGGAACAATAAGATAATGAGTATCTGTAAGGACTCCTTAACATCATCAGGTTCTTTCATGAGGAAATGAAGGGCACTGTATTTTGATGGCTCAAAGTCAGATCCCTTTGACATCCTGAAGCGGAGTGAAACAGGGCTATGTCCCTGCCTGGACTCTGGGATCTTTTTTGCTGTCAAGCTGAAGCACGCCTTTGGAACTGCAACAGAAGGTGTCTATCTCCAGACTAGATCAGATGGAAAGCTCTTTAATTTCTCTAGATTGAGAGCAAAGGCCAAAGTCCAGCTGAAATGCATGCGGGACCTCCTCTTCGCCGATGATGTAGCTGTTGTTGCCCACTCTGCTGATGACCTCCAACAACTCCTGAATCGTTTTAGCAAGGCCTGCCAAGACTTTGGATTAACAATCAGCCTGAAGAAAACACAAGTCATGGGCCAGGGCGTGGACCCACCTCCCTCTATTACTTGTGTGGGAACTGAACTCCCACACAAGAATTGGAGGTTGTTCATGACTTTGTGTACCTTGGCTCAACGATCTCTGACACTCTCTCCCTAGATGTCAAGCTCGATAAACACATTGGCAAAGCAGCTACCATGTTCTCTAGACTCACAAAGAGTATGGCTCAATAAGAAACTGATGACATATAGCAAGATCCAGGTCTATAGAACCTGTGTCCTGAGCACACTCTTGTACTGCAGTGAGTCCTGGACACTTTGTGCCTGGCAGGAGAGGAAGCTGAACACCTTCCATATGCATTGCCTCTGATCGATTTTTGGTATCACCTGGCAGGACAAAGTTCCAAATAGAGTAGTCCTGGAATGAGCTGGAATTTTTAGCATGTATACATTACTGAAACAGGGACATCTATGTTGGCTCGAGCATATTGTGAGAATGGCTGATGGTCATATTCCGAAAGATCTCCTGTATGGAGAATTGGTACAGGGAAATCACCCCAGATGGAGACCACAACTGCGATACAAGGACATCTGCAAGTGGGATCTGAAGGTCTTCGGAATGGACCTCAACAGATGGGGAACCTTGACATCTGAGCATTCAGCCTGGAGGCAGATGGTGCAGCATGGCCTCTCCCAATTTAAAGAGGCACTAGTTCAGCAGGCTGAGGCAGAGAGGCAGTCCCAAAACCAGCAAAATCAGGGAGCTGGACAGAGGACAGATTGCCTTCAGTGTGGAAGGGATGGTCACTTGAATTGGCCTCCTCAACCACACTAGATGCTGTTCGAAGACCTCTATTCAGAGCATATTATCATAGTCTTTCGAGACTGAAGTATGCCTAAACTCAATGGGACTTGCGAGGTGGTATTGGTAAATAGTAAGGAAATATAGCTGGGAATTTCAGCAAATTTAACACAATATTTTACATTTTATAATGACCTAAGAAACACTGGCTTATTCTGAGTCTACTGGGAAGAGGTTTAAAAATCTAGCACCACGACCACGCTAGCCTTCTTATGCTCTACAGTAAGGTGGCCATATGAGGGCCCTAGGGCCCAAAGCAGATTCCAGGGCTGGGCTTTGCAGATTTCTGTACCCAAAAATGTCTCCACTCTACAAAAAATGTTGTATTGCTGTTCCTGGAATCCCAGGAAGTGCAACCATCCTTTAAATAGGCCCCAGTGCACACACAAAATTACCATTTTTTAAAAAACTTGTGATCACTTCCACTGTTATTTTTTTTGTTTTTTTTGTTTTTTTGCTATATGGCCATCCAGAGGCAAAACCCCTGCCCCACCATGAGAATAGGGAATGTTGAAAGAGTGATAAAAGCCCACAGCAGATGACATCATCAGTTTTTATGAACATAACTTTGATTATGATGATCGTGTGCCATCAAGTCAGTTCTGAGTTACGGCAATCTTTTTCAGGGTTTTCTAGGTAGATCGTACACAGGAGTTCTTTACCATTCCCCTCTTCTGGGGTTGCCCTGGGACTAGGCAGCTTACGCAAGGCAAGGATCCATAGTGAGGAATTGAACTCCCAAGGTCTGGCTCCACAGTCAGAGACCTAACTAGCTGTGCTATCCAGCCAGTGTAACTTTACACAAGAGGATTTTGAGCATTGCTACATTATGTTGCATTGATTTCATTAGGTCTAGTCTGTCTGTCTGTCTGTCTGTCTATCTATCTATCTATCTATCTATCTATCTATCTATCTATCTATCTATCTATCTATCTATCTATCTATCTACAGTGGTGCCTCGCTTAGCGAGCGCTCTGTTTAGCGATGAAATCGCTTTGCGATGAAGATTTTGCAATCACTTTTGTGATCGCTTTGCGATGTTCCCTTTGGGGTATTTTCGCTTTGCAATGACCGATCATCGCAAAGCGACCATTTTCGCACAGCTGATCGGTGGTTTCAAAATGGCC